GGTCCGTGAGTTTTGGTGGGCGGCCCTCTCTTGGCAAGTTTGTTGTGGTGCCATATTCTTTCCATTTTTTAAAAATGGATTTAATGGTGCTCCTTGGGATGTTCAAAGTTCCGGATATTTTTTTATAACCCAACCCTGATCTGTACTTTGCTCCTTGGTCTTCATGGTGCCGCTTGCTTGGTGGTTCCCCTTGCTTAGTGGTGTTGCAGACTCTGGGGCCTTTTAGAACAGGTGTATATATACAGTGGGGGAAAAAAGTATTTAGTCAGCCACCAATTGTTCAAGTTCTCCCACTTAAAAATATGAGAGAGGCCTGTAATTTTCATCATAGGTACACGTCAACTATGACAGACAAATTGAGAGAGAAACATTCTAGAAAATCACATTGTAGGATTTTTAATGAATTTATTTGCAAATTATGGTGGAAAATAAGAATTTGGTCACCTACAAACAAGCAAGATTTCTGGCTCTCACAAACCTGTAACTTCTTCTTTAAGAGGCTCCTCTGTCCTCCACTCGTTACCTGTATTAATGGCACCTGTTTGAACTTGTTATCAGTATAAAAGACACCTGTCCACAACCTCAAACAGTCACACTCCAAACTCCACTATGGCCAAGACCAAAGTGCTGTCAAAGGACACCAGAAACAAAATTGTAGACCTGCACCATGCTGGGAAGACTGAATCTGCAATAGGTAAGCAGCTTGGTTTAAAGAAATCAACTGTGGGAGCAATTATTAGGAAATGGAAGACATACAAGACCACTGATAATCTCCCTCGATCTGGGGCTCCACGCAAGATCTCACCCCGTGGGGTCAAAATGATCACAAGAACGGTGAGCAAAAATCCCAGAACCACACGGGGGGACCTAGTGAATGACCTGCAGAGAACTGGGACCAAAGTAACAAAGCCTACCATCAGTAACACACTACGCCCCAGGGACTCAAATCCTGCAGTGCCAGACGTGTCCCCCTGCTTAAACCAGTACATGTCCAGGCCCGTCTGAAGTTTGCTAGAGTGCATTTGGATGATCCAGAAGAGGATTGGGAGAATGTCATATGGTCAGATGAAACCAAAATAGAACTTTTTGGTAAAAACTCAACTTGTCGTGTTTGGAGGACAAAGAATGCTGAGTTGCATCCAAAGAACAACATACCTACTGTGAAGCATGGGGGTGGGAACATCATGCTTTGGGGCTGTTTTTCTGCAAAGTGACCAGGACGACTGATCCGTGTAAAGGAAAGAATGAATGGGGCCATGTATCGTGAGATTTTGAGTGAAAACCTCCTTCCATCAGCAAGGGCATTGAAGATGAAACGTGGCTGGGTCTTTCAGCATGACAATGATCCCAAACACACCGCCCGGGCAACGAAGGAGTGGCTTCGTAAGAAGCATTTCAAGGTCCTGGAGTGGCCTAGCCAGTCTCCAGATCTCAACCCCATAGAAATCTTTGGAGGGAGTTGAAAGTCCGTGTTGCCCAGTGACAGCCCCAAAACATCACTGCTCTAGAGGAGATCTGCATGGAGGAATGGGCCAAAATACCAGCAACAGTGTGTGAAAACCTTGTGAAGACTTACAGAAAACGTTTGACCTGTGTCATTGCCAACAAAGGGTATATAACAAAGTATTGAGTAACTTTTGTTATTGACCAAATACTTATTTTCCACCATAATTTGCAAATAAATTCATTAAAAATCCTACAATGTGATTTTTTTGGGGGAAAAAAATCTCATTTTGTCTGTCATAGTTGACGTGTACCTATGATGAAAATTACAGGCCTCTCATCTTTTTAAGTGGGAGAACTTGCACAATTGGTGGCTGACTAAATACTTTTTTCCCCCACTGTACACTGAGATCATGTGACACAGATTGCACACAGGTGGACTTTATTTAACTAATTATGTGACTTCTGAAGGTGTTGCACCAGATCTCATTTAGGGGCTTCATAGCAAAGGGGGTGAATACATATGCACGCACCACTTTTCAGTTATTTATTTTGTATAATTTTTTTCATTCCACTTCACCAATTTGGACTATTTTGTGTTTGTCCATTACATGAACTCCAAATAAAAATCCATTTAAATTACCGGTTGTAATGCAACAAAATAGGAAAAACTAATTTTGCAAGGCACTGTAGGCTACTGCTTTTGCTGTTCGTTAGGCCTACTCATCTTGTTGGCTGACGAAAAGTGAATGTGGACAGTTCTTCCAATATCTTCAATATGCGCCTCGGAATTGGATAAGGACGTGTGCAGTTGCGTCTCCGATGCGTCTGTCTTCACTTGTAGCCTGTGAGAAAGACCCGATCATGTGATAGTGAGAGGTGCTTTGGCATGCAGCCGGGAGAAGGGAATTATAATTATTATATTCAGCCCAAGGGCACAACGGCCAAAAAAGGCATGGATTTTTTGGGGGGGGCATTACGTCCACACAAAGGGGATGCCGCCGGGAATTGAGGTATTATCAAGTGCTTGTCAAATTGTGAATGAGAGACTGATGAAGTGTGTACAGTCTGCGCAAAAAACAAAGCAGAGCTCATGCCCTTCATGCAATTTTTTTCAAATCTTCATTAGGTCGCATCATGCAGCCTTAGAAGGTATTAAACATTGTAACATATAGCCCAACATTTGTATCACAAGTAAAGTACATGAATAACTCTAAATTAAGCATATAGGAGTATCTGTTTTTTTGTTAACCGCTCAACACAGAATAACTGCATGTGCGCACTCCCTCAAATCGTTTGGAGAAAATATCCTTTCCATTTAATTCAGCTATGTTCAATTGTATTCTTCATACTATAAAATAATGCCACGGAATTCTAAGCAAATCTTGTCTGTTAAATGAACTTCTGAAATAGACTACATTTTCTTCATACCATGTTTCTTTAGACCTGTCTAAAATAAATAATGGATTTTTTGTGATGGTATAGGTTATATTAAATGGATTTAGACTTTTTTAAATGTAGATGTTCCAAAGGTCTGCATCAGTGGCTTGTAGGCTATGCGTGAAAGCCAGGATATGCTAAATGTGTTTATTACCGTGAGACTGGCAGTTATTTTCTTGACAATCACCGTCTGACAAAATGTCATGACCACCACAGCCCTAGCGATGACACAGCCAAGTATTGCGCCATGCGTGGGGTTAAAACTGTTATGGCTTTCATTATCCATGTCTTTTTTTATATTATTAACTGTTACTAAATTATCATCAGCAAAAACCACATGGCTGTGACAGCATTTACAGAGGAAGCAAATGACGGAACACGAAACAATCTAATTAAATAGAATGATAATGTAGGCTATACCAACTGAAGGGAACTAACAGTAAATTGGCAGTCGAATATGTGTTGTTATTAGGCCTACTGACGGTCGATACTGAAAGTGGCTAATATTTAACATGATAGAAATAGGAGACAGAAAGTCAGGGCAGTCTATAATTAAGACATTTGAGAGTGCCCATCCCTGCAAATTAAAAGGCCGTACAATTTAAATTCTGCATAATGACACAGCATTTCAAAAACGTTAAAAGACACTAACAGCTTACAGACGGTAGGCAATTATGGTCACAGTTATGAAAACTTAGGACACTAAAGAGGCCTTTCTACTGACTCTGAAAAACACCAAAAGAAAGATGCCCAGGGTCCCTGCTCATCTGTGTGAACGTGCCTTAGGCATGCTGCAAGGAGGCATGAGGACTGCAGATGTGGCCAGGGCAATAAATTGCAGTCTGTACTGTGAGACGCCTAAGACAGCGCTACAGGGAGACAGGACGGACAGCTGATCGTCCTCGCAGTGGCAGACCACGTGCAACAACACCTGCACAGGATCGGTACATCCGAACACCACACCTGCGGGACAGGTACAGGATGGCAACAACAACTGCCCGAGTTACACCAGGAACGCACAATCCCTCCATCAGTGCTCAGACTGTCCGCAAAAGGCTGAGAGAGGCTGGACTGAGGGCTTGTAGGCCTATTGTAAGGCAGGTCCTCACCAGAGTCGCAGTTTTGTCTCACCAGGGGTGATTGTCGGATTCGCGTTTATCGTCAAAGGAATGAGCGTTACACCGAGGCCTGTACTCTGGAGTGGGATCGATTTGGAGGTGGAGGGTCTGTCATGGTCTGGGGCGGTGTGTCACAGCATCATCGGACTGAGCTTGTTGTCATTGCAGGCAATCTCAACGCTGTGCGTTACAGGGAAGACATCTTCCTCCCTCATGTGGTACCCTTCCTGCAGGCTCATCCTGACATGACCCTCCAGCATGACAATGCCACCAGCCATACTGCTTGTTCTGTGCGTGATTTCCTGCAAGACAGGAATGTCAGTGTTCTGCCATGGCCAGCGAAGAGCCCGGATCACAATCCCATTGAGCACGTCTGGGACCTGTTGGATCGGAGGGTGAGGGCTAGGGCCATTCTCCCCAGAAATGTCCGGAAACTTAAAGGTGCCTTGGTGGAAGAGTGGGGTAACATCTCACAGCAACTGGCAAATCTGGTGCAGTCCATGAGGAGGAGCTGCACTGCAGTACTTAATGGAGCTGGTGGCCACACCAGATACTGACTGTTACTTTTGATTTTGACCCCCCCTTTGTTCAGGGACACATTATTCCAATTCTGTTAGTCACATGTCTGTGGAATTTGTTCAGTTTATGTCTCAGTTGTTGAATCTTGTTATGTTCATACAAATATTTACACGTTAAGTTTGCTGAAAATAAACGCAGTTGACAGTGAGAGGACGTTTCTTTTTTTGCTGAGTTTATATGTGTGTGTGTGTCTTTCGCAGCAATTTTGTAAACAGACCTTGTAGTGTTCGTCTTTTCCTTCTCTCTCTCGCTGTCCTTCTTCTGCTCATTGCCCTCTCCAGCAGGTTTTCCAAGGAACGGTTTCTGATGGTCATAAAGGGGAGTAGTGTTACAGAGGGGAAGAACCATTTTGCAAAAACATGGGGAAAATATAAAGAGATTTAGATATTTGTAAAGAATAAAGAGACTACAGTTTAAATCTCAGCTAACCTTGCTGTGTCTGGCTCCATCGATGGTCATGTCCTTCTCTTCCTCCTCCCCAGATCCTCGATTTTTGCGCTGGGGGGCTTTTGGGGCCTCAGTTGAATCCTCAGGTTGACTAACTGTCTCCTTATCCTGGGATATGGTGTTTGTCTGAGGTTTCTCAGGCTAAAGGATAGATAACAGGTCAATGAATTATGTATTGGGCAAAATATCATACATTTGAGCAGGCGAGTCACAGTTATAAGCACACAACTCTGTCATTTAACCAACATATTGTTACGATAAGAATTATGGGCGTTTGTGTTTTAGCATCATTAGGTCTCCTTAAGTTACGTCTCTGCTTGTCTACTAGGCTATTAAGTAAGACATACAGTACATGACAATGGACTTAATAATCATATAATCTTTTGTCACCATTGTTTTGTGGTAAATTGTTTCTTATGTTCATTGTGTGATATACAAGTGCAGCATGTAGACCTAAAGAGATCCCAGCAAAAGCACACCTAGGCCTATCCCACGTACTTTGTGACAACATATATTCACTGAAAAATCATTTTGCCTCCATCTTTCACTACTACAGAAAACCATGTTATTCATAAATCAGAAACCGTTCTTGTAAACATCTTGAACAGATTGATTTGATCATTTGGACAAGGTTCCCTTGAACATGAATGAAATAACATATTCTGATCTCCAATGTACCATTGATTGTCACTGCTTGGGTGGTCCTGTCAAACCTAGGCCCTGACAGAATAAAAAACAAAAACAACCAAAAGAGAAACCTAAAAAGAAAATCCCAAGTACTACATGGTTAATGAACATTACTTTCCCATATTGCTGTTGGGGTTTGATCATTGTTGTTTCACGGATTGAGTGAAAGAACACCTATAGACCACTCACCTTTCTACCACTGGGAGTGGTGCGGGTTTTGCCCTGGGAGGACGAAGATGAACCAGACGAATGTGAGGAGGATGACCCAGAGTCAGAATCTGAGGAGTCACTAGATGAGGAAGCCTGTCTTCCCCGCTTCTCTTCTTTCTTTTGACTTCTCTCCCTTCCCCGGTCTACATTGCCCTCTTCCGGTGGGGGTGAGGGAGGTACCACAGCTTCTGCTCGACCCGAGGGGACGTTTCCTGCACCCACCCCTTTTTCACCTCTGGCCATCTCTCCCACTTCCTGCTTGTCTGTCTCCTCCTTATCTGCTAGGACCTGCTCCTCTGACGCAAGCTCCTTAGCCTTTTCTTCTTCAGGACTCTTGCCTAGCGTGGCAATCACTGGGGTCTCTGGCCCTGTCGTGTCTGCTGCAGGTGGTCCAGAAACAAGGACCCCCTGTCTTGCAGGCATCTGTGGTACTGCCTGTCCAGCAGAAGGATTGGGCCCCTGCAGAGTACCTTCCTGCTCTTGTTCCCCAGGTTTTCTTGGGGACTGGAGAGCTGAGGCCTGAGGATGGGGGCTGTCAGAGAACGTACGGGGCCTCTTGATGACCAGGGATGCAGAGCAAGATTGGGATAGAACTGGGGGGTCTCTCAAGAAACGGAACTTCTTGAAGGAGGACTGGGGTGACAGAGGCGTTGCTATAGTTGGTGACAGGGGCGTACCAGATTCAGCTGGCTGGTTGTCTCTCGATGCTGTTTGGGGTAGGGATGGCACGTGGGACTTCCCACCCTCCTCTGTTGCCGCCATTCTACCTGCTCCTGTGGAGAGGGGAGGAGTGGGCAGGGGGGTAAGACCAATCTCACGACCACGTTTCCATGGAGGAAGATGACTCTCCCTCTCAGCCACCTTAGCCCTTTCCTTATCTTGTTCCAAAGTGCTCTCCCTCTCCACTTTTTCTCTCTGCAGGGCCTTCTGTTCTAAAACCCTCTCCTTCTCCTCTCTCTCACGTTCCAAAGCTTTTTCCCTCTCCACTCTTTCTTTCTCCATGGCTCTTTCTTTATCAAGGGCTTTCTCCCTTTCAATTCTTTCTTGCTCCAAAGCCCTTGCCCTCTCCTCCCGTTCCCGCTCTAAAGCTTTCTGCCTCTCTAGCTCTAAAGCTTTCTCCTGCTCAACTCGCTCTTGCTCCAAAGCCAATTCCTTCTCTATACGCTCTAGCTCTAAAGCTTTCTCCCTCTCCTCCTGTTCCCGCTTCAAAGCTTTCTGCCTCTCTAGCTCCAAAGCTTTCTCCTTGTCAACTCGCTCTTGCTCCAAAGCCTTTTCCTTCTCTATACGCTCTAGCTCTAAAGCTTTCTCCCTCTCCTCCTGTTCCCGTTTTAAAGCTTTCTGCCTCTCTAGCTCCAAAGCTTTCTCCTTCTCAACTCGCTCTTGCTCCAAAGCCTTTTCCTTCTCTATACGCTCTAGCTCTAAAGCTTTCTCCCTCTCCTCCTGTTCCCGTTTCAAAGCTTTCTGCCTCTCTAGCTCCAAAGCTTTCTCCTTCTCAACTCGCTCTTGCTCCAAAGCCTTTTCCTTCTCTATACGCTCTAGCTCTAAAGCTTTCTCCCTCTCCTCCTGTTCCCGTTTCAAAGCTTTCTGCCTCTCTAGCTCCAAAGCTTTCTCCTTCTCAACTCGCTCTTGCTCCAAAGCCTTTTCCTTCTCTATACGCTCTAGCTCTAAAGCTTTCTCCCTCTCCTCCTGTTCCCGTTTCAAAGCTTTCTGCCTCTCTAGCTCCAAAGCTTTCTCCCTCTCCAACCGTTCTTGATCCAAGGCTTTCTCCCTCTCCAGCCGTTCTCGCTGCAAAGCTCTCGCTGTCTCCAACCTTTCTCGTTCAAGAGCTTGCTCCCGCTCCCGCGCCCTTTCCCTCTCCTCCCGCTCAAAAGATTTAACTCTTTCTTTTTCTATTGCTCTTTCCCTCTCCTCTCTCTCTTGCTGCAAAGCTCGCTCTCGTTCCATGGCTCTCTGCCTTTCTAACTCCATAGCCTTCTCTTTCTCAAGCTCAAGGGCCCTCTCTCTTGCCATAGACTTCTCTCTCTCTTCCACCAAAGCTTTCTCTCTTTCCTCCCTCTCTCGTTCAAGAGCTTGCGCCCTCTCTCGCTCCAAAGCCCTTTCCCTCTCCTTCCTTTCTGCCTCCAAGGCTTTCTCCCTCTCCTCCCTCTCTTGCTCCAAAGCTCTTTCCCTCTCCTTCCTTTCTGCCTCCAATGCTTTCTCCCTCTCCTCCCTCTCTAATTTCAAAGCTCTTTCCCTCTCTTGCTCCATGGCACGCTGTTGCTCAAATATTCTCTGTCTTTCCAGCTCCACGGCTCTAAGTCTCTCTTGCTCAAGGGCTTTTTCTCTTTCCCTCTCTGCCTGCAGCTCCCTTTCCTTGTTTTCTTGTTGCCATGCAGCATCTCTCTCTTCCATTATAGTGGGCCTAAGCACACTCACAGGAACTTGACTGTGGGGGAGATGGCCTCCAAGTACACCCTGGTTGGTGACTGGAACCAGACTGGGGAAGGGCAAACTGGCTGCAGCATTGGCTGTGTGGGTGATGGCAGACACTGTGCCCTCTTGAGGACCTCTACCAGGAAATATTGTTGCAGTTGCAGCATTGTTGTCCTGCCTCTCTGCCTCCCCACGTCCATGCCACCCAACTCCAGAGAAAGCCCCTTCTGATGCCATCTTGCGTGCCAGCAGGGTCAGTGGGCCAGGCTTGCGCTCTGCGTTGCTTTGTGGTTCTGGACTGCTACTACGACTGCCACTGCTAGAGGAGCCAGAGCTGGATGTACTGGAAGTACGCTGCCTAGCCGGGAGCTCACCTGGACTAGGGGGGCTTTGTTTAGGGGTATCAGGCAGTGGGAATGATAACTCTGGGGGAGGGGAGGGAGGAGGGGTAGGCTGTCGAAGCTGCGGAGACAACAGGGGAGGGATGTGCTGTGGGGGTTGGCGGGATCCTTCAGACCTCTCTCTTGCCAGCTGGCCTCTTGGTGGCTCTCCTAGATTCCTCCTCCTGGCACCGCTATTCCAGTCCTCATCCTCACCATCCTCGTCACCTCCGTCGCTGTCATCATCGCTATCTGCTGGGACTTGGCTAGAGGTTGGGACTCTCTCCTGTCGCTGCCCACCACCAGCTACACGCACAGACAGAGAGGCCACGGCAGCAGGGGCAGAGGTAGGCGAGGTAGAGGCAGGTGGACCAGACACATGGCCGTCTTTGGCCCTGTGTCCCTCTCCCTCGCTTGCCGGGCCTGCTAGTCCCTCTCCCTCGGAGGGGCCAAGCGGCTTGTGTTGGTCAACCAACACGGGTGCGTCATCCTTATGAGGACGGAAAGGGAGATGAGATTGAGTTTGTTGCAAGGCTATGCTAGAGTATCTCCAATGCATGCAATTGTTCAGGCATACATTAAAATTGCATGCAAGATTGTGTTAATCATGCAAGATTCTCAGACATGCAAGCTTCTCTCAAACATGCATGTTGTACAACAGGGGTGTATTCATTACACAGATTCTGTTTGTAAAACATTTCTTAAACGGAAGCAAAAGGAAGGAAAACGGGGAGGGACCTAGATGAATTTGCCCAATAGAAACTCTCTTTATAGTTATAAAATGGAATGCAAACGGAAAAATGATTACCACCCTGGAGACTCTTAAAAACAGAAAGAATACAGCGATTAGTCTGCAACTAACCTGGTCTGGGGCAGCACAGGCAGAGCTGTTATTGCCCTGTGTGTGGTCCTCTTGGTCTGTATCTGGAAAAACATAGTAGTGATATGTAATGAGGCAAAGTACCCTGAGCAGGAGAGGAGTAGCTGACCTGATTTGATTTATAAAGGAAGCGTGCTCAGCACAGGCATGGAACTGACATGTAAACTACACAGGCTTAAACCCCAAGCCAACATGTAAAGGTGAGGGGGTGCACTGCCAACTTACCATCATCTTCGACTGCTTCCCGGGCCTCTCTCTCCAGACGCTGCCTCAAGAGCTCCTGCTGTTTTGCCAGATACTGCTTAATGAAGCTGTTCTGGCTCATCTCTTCACCAATCTGAAATAATCAGACAGACCATAAGACTTAAAAAGTCCTTGCCCATAACCATCATATTGGCTTTACACCCCCTGCTATATTGTGGATAAAGAGTTACCTGTCTAACAGAACACAGAGGGTGTTCTTTAATGGAAGCCTCACCAACATAATGGTCCTCTGTAGCTCAGCTGGTAGAGCACGGCGCTTGTAACGCTAAGGTAGTGGGTTCGATCCCCGGGACCACCCATACACAAAAATGTATGCACGCATGACTGTAAGTCGCTTTGGATAAAAGCGTCTGCTAAATGGCATATTATTATTATTATTATTATTATAATCCAGGTAGAATCAGGAATTCCCCAGGACAGCTGTCTAGGCCCCTTACTTTTTAAAATCTTTACTAATGACATGCCACTGGCTTTGAGTAAAGCCTGTGTGTCTATGTATGCAGATGACTCAACACTATACATGTCAGCTACTACAGTGACTGAAATGACTGCAACACTTAACAAAGAGCTGCAGTTAGTTTCAGAGTGGGTGGCAAGGAATAAGTTAGTCTTAAATATCTCTAAAACTAAAAGCATTGTATTTGGGCCAAATCATTCACTAAACCTCAACTAAATCTTGTAATAAATCATGTGGAAATTGAGCACGTTGAGGTGACTAAACTGCTTGGAGTAACCCTGGATTGTAAACTGTCATGGTCAAAACATATTGATACAACAGTAGCTAAGATGGGGAGAAGTCTGTCCATAATAAAGCACTGCTCTACCTTCTTAACAGCACTATCAACAAGGCAGGTCCTACAGGCCCTAGTTTTGTCGCACCTGGACTACTGTTCAGTCGTGTGGTCAGGTGCCACAAAAAGGGACTTAGGAAAATTGCAATTGGCTCAGAACAGGGCAGCACGGCTGGCCCTTTGATGTATACTGAGAGCTAATATTAATAATATGCATGTCAATCTCTCCTGGCTCAAAGTGGAGGAGAGATTGCCTTCATCACTACTTGTATTTATGAGAGGTATTGACATGTTGAATGCGCCTAGCTGTCTGTTTGGACTACTGGCGCACAACTCGGACACCCATGCATACCCCACAAGACATGCCACAAGAGGTCTCTTCACAGTCCCCAAGTCCAGAACAGACTATGGGAGGCGCACAGTACTACATAGAGCCATGACTATCTAGTCCACATCAAGTAACTGATGCAAGCAGTAAAATTAGATTTAAACAACAGATAAGAATACACCTTATGGAACAGCGGGGACTGTGAAGTAACACAAACGTAAGCACAGACACATGCATACAAACACGATAACATAAGCACTATAAACACACACATGGATTTTGTACTGTAGATATGTGGTAGTGGGTGGAATAGGGGCCTGAGGGCACACAGTGTGCTGTGAAATCTGTGAATGTATTGTAATGTTTTTTAAATTGTATAAACTGCCTTAATTTTGCTGGACCCCAGGAAGAATAGCTGCTGCCTTGGCAACAGCTAATGGGGATCCATAAGAAATAAAAATATTGAAGAAGTAATTAGAGAAACTGCCAAATACCTACACAAGGAGCTGATTGAATTGTTATGGTTCATGCTAAAACATGCAACTTCTTCATACTGTAACTCTCACCTGGGAGTTTGGCTGCAGTCCTATGTGATGGTGTGAGGTTCTCTGGAGGTTCTCCAGCATGAGAGCCTGTCACAAACATAATGATCACACACACACACAAAACAGTAAACACAAATTGGAAACTGGCTAAATTATTATTAATTGTTGTATGTTGCATTGCATCTGATAATCATGTTGTTAAGTTAGCTACATGATGGACTCATTAGAAAGCATTCACATTAACAGGGCAGACAACCATGCAAGTTATTCCTTCAAAACAAAGTCAAGATAAAATATTCGTAGTAGCAGAAGCATATACTGGCCGATATCGACTAAATACAAATACTTTTATTTTCAACTGAGAGCTAACGCTAGCTAGTAGGATTGATTTAACTAGACTTGAAAACGACAATGGTTGCTAGCTAGCTGTTGCATTTCACGCTGCTTGCAATTCACTTGTATTGCTAACATTACATATTCTAATTATACAATGAAGTACTAATTCATCGAAGACCCGGGGCCCCAAAACATTTAGATTACTTTTATTCATTCATTAATTATTTTGTTTACTACGCCTCCCAAAGCTTGCTAGCTTCTAGTACAGTAGATAGCGAGCTACTTTACAGGCGCGTCCACGTTGTATAACCTCCCCCCAACTCGTGCACACCAACAAAGCGCGGACCGTGCCGCCGCCGACAAAACTACCAGTAACTGTTAGCTGGCAGCTAACGTTAGCTACCAGCCGTGTCTCACATAAACAACACACGTCCATTTAAACTTTGGTTAACAACTTATTCAACGAACAAGCCATTTGAAATGGTACAACATAGCACAAAGCTTCCAACGACGACAAAACATGACCACACAAAGTAAACAGCACACTGTAGCTATTTTATTTTATTTTATAAACTAGGCAAGCACTCCGGCCTGCAAGACAAGCATCGGCCAGTCTCTAGCAACACCGAGGTTTAGCGACTGCAGGTTATAAACGGTCTCAAATCCTTAACAAAACTCACCCCTTTGAGCCTCTTAATGAGAGCATTTTTCTGTCCGCTTTTAGGAAGCCCCCGCTCCTCTAAAGCAGCTTTCAAATCCGCCACCCGTAGAGATTGTAGCGGCCTCCCGTCCAGCGTAACGTCTTCGAGGTCCGCCATTTTCCCTTTCCTCAATAGTTCGCTTCAGCAACGCCTTCCTTCAACCAACGTCTGAGTAGTCAAAGTGTAAACTGAATTTAATTATTACATAGTTTGATTTTATTCATACATTCGATGGTGGAGTGTTACCCATAAACGCTATTCACTGTGAATTTGCATAAATAAGATACCTAAACATTATTTTGAAAATGTCCTTTCCCAGATTCTAATTTTATTTGTGCCAACAGGGGGCACTCTTTCACGTGTCAAAATCATCTCTGTTGGATCATGTCACAGTGCAAAATGCCTTGGTGCAGCAGTTGTAACAACAACTGTGGTTGTTCTTTGACTAATCTTTTGCGCTCAAGTCTTGCTCGACTGGGGTGCTTCCCTGGTGGTGTCCTGGCCAGACAGCCCTTTTGCCAGCCCTGGTCCCTTATTAGGGTAGTAGCAATTACATTTACATTTACGTCATTTAGCAGACGCTCTTATCCAGAGCGACTTACAAATAGGTCACCTTATAGCCAGTGGGAAAAACATTTTTTTTGGGGGGTGGGGGGGGTTTGGAGTAAAGGGGGGGGGGGGGGGGTAGAAGGATTACTTTATCCTATCCCAGGTATTCCTTAAAGAGGTGGGGTTTCAAATGTCTCCGGAAGGTGGTGAGTGACTCCGCTGTCCTGGCGTCGTAAGGGAGCTTGTTCCACCATTGGGGTGCCAGAGCAGCGAACAGTTTTGACTGGGCTGAGCGGGAACTATGCTTCCGCAGAGGTAGGGGAGCCAGCAGGCCAGAGGTGGATGAACGCAGTGCCCTCGTTTGGGTGTAGGGACTGATCAGAGCCTGAAGGTACGGAGGTGCCGTTCCCCTCACAGCTCCATAGGCAAGCACCATGGTCTTGTAACGGATGCGAGCTTCAACTGGAAGCCAGTGGAGTGTGCGGAGGAGCGGGGTGACGTGAGAGAACTTGGGAAGGTTGAACACCAGACGGGCTGCGGCATTCTGGATGAATTGTAGGGGTTTAATGGCACAGGCAGGGAGCCCAGCCAACAGCGAGTTGCAGTAATCCAGACGGGAGATGACAAGTGCCTGGATTAGGACCTGTGCCGCTTCCTGTGTAAGGCAGGGTCGTACTCTCCGAATGTTGTAGAGCATGAACCTACAGGATCGGGTCACCGCCTTGATGTTAGCGGAGAACGACAGGGTGTTGTCCAGGGTCACGCCAAGGCTCTTCGCACTCTGGGAGGAGGACACAACGGAGTTGTCAACCGTGATGGCGAGATCATGGAACGGGCAGTCCTTCCCCGGGAGGAAGAGCAGCTCCGTCTTGCCGAGGTTCAGCTTGAGGTGGTGATCCGTCATCCATACTGATATGTCTGCCAGACATGCAGAGATGCGATTCGCCACCTGGTTATCAGAAGGGGGAAAGGAGAAGATTAGTTGTGTGTCGTCAGCGTAGCAATGATAGGAGAGGCCATGTGAGGATATGACAGAGCCAAGTGACTTGGTGTATAGCGAGAATAGGAGAGGGCCTAGAACTGAGCCCTGGGGGACACCAGTGGTGAGAGCACGTGGTGCGGAGACAGCTTCTCGCCACGCCACTTGGTAGGAGCGACCGGTCAGGTAGGACGCAATCCAAGAGTGAGCCGCGCCGGAGATGCCCAGCTCGGAGAGGGTGGAGAGGAGGATCTGATGGTTCACAGTATCAAAGGCAGCAGACAGGTCTAGAAGGGCAATGCCCCCAAAATGTTGAGATACCCCTACCCGAGGTATAACACAACCATGTTTTTCCATATCTCTAAGGTCCCATAAATGAAATGGATGGTTGTGTAATTTTTTTTACTGCAAAAGTGGTTAAATTGATAGATATTGTGACACACCCCCTAAACTCAAACAGTGCAGAAAAATGCCTTGCTGGAGGTGGGGGTGGGCCACATAATCTCATGTAACCCAATATTGCAAGCTCTGATATTGCTAAAATTTGGAATACAAGTAGTCAATTGTCTGCCGTACATACATAATCACATTTTATTGGTCACATGCGCAGAATACAACAGGTGTAGACTTTACAATGAAATGCTCACTTACGAGCTCATTTCCAACAACGCAGAGTTAACAAGTAAGACAAATATTTGCTAAATAAAAAAGGAAATAGTAACACAATAAAAACAATAACGAGGCTATATACAAGGAGTACCAGTACCGAGTCAATGTGCAGGGGTACAAGGTAGTTGAGGTAATTGAGGTAATACAGTATGTACACGTGGGTAGGGGTAAAAGTGACTACGCAATCAGGATATATAATAAACAGAGTAGCAGCAGCGTATGTGAAGTGTGAAAGTGTGACTGTGTGTGGCGTCAATATGCATGTGTGATTTGTGTGTGTGAGCGTATGTAGTGTGTGTGTGTGTGTGTGTTGGAGTGTCAGTGTAGTATGTGTGAGTGTGTGGGTAGTATGTGTGAGTGTGTGGGTAGAATGTAGTGAGGGTGCATAGAGCCAGTTCAAGGGAGTCAGTGCAAAACAATAAAGATAAATAATTAAATAATAAAAGGGCTAAATGTAAATTGTCTGGGTAGTCTTTGATTAACTGTTCAGCAGTCTTATGGCTTGGGGGTAGAAGCTGTTCAGGTGCCTTTTGGTCCCAGACTTGGTGCTCCGGTACCGCTTGCCATACAGTAGCAGAGAGAACAGTCCATGACTTGAGTGGCTGGAGTCTTTGACAATTTTTAGGGTGATGTACTGGGCCGTACGCACCACCCTCTGTTGCGCCTTGCGGTCGGATGCCAAGCAGTTGCCATACCAAGTGGTGATGCAGCTAGTCAAGATGCTTTCAATGGTGCAGCTGTATAACTTTTTGAGGATCTGAGGGCCCATGCCAAATCTTGTCAGTCTCCTGAGTGGGAGAGGCGTTGTTGTGCCCTCTTCACAACTGTGTTGGTGTGTTTGGACCATGATAGGACCTTAGTGATGTGGACACCGAGGAACTTGAAACTCACGACCTGTTCCTCTACAGCCCCGTCGATGTGAATGGGGGCGTGTTCGGCCCTCTTTCCTTTAATCCACGGTAAGCTCCTTTGTCTTACCCACGTTGAGGGAGAGGTTGTTGTCCTGGCACCACACTGCCAGGTCTCTGACCTCCTCCCTATAGGCTGTCTCATCGTTGTCAGTGATCAGGCCTACCACCGTCGTGTCGTCAGCAAACTTAATGATGGTGTTGGAGTCGTGCGCAGCCACGCAATCGTGGGTGAACAGGGAGTACAGGAGGGAACTAAGCACGCACCCCTGAGGGGCCCTCGTGTTGAGGGTCAGATTGGCGGATGTGTTGTTGCCTACCCTCACTACCTGGGGGCGGCCCGTCAGGAAGTTCAGGATCCGGTTGCAGTGGAAGGTGTTCAGTCCCAAGGTCCTTAGCTTAGTGATAAGCTTGGAGGGAGCTATGGTGTTGAACGCTGAGCTGTAGTCAATGAACAGTATTCTCACGTAGGTGTTCCTTTTGTCCAGGTGGGAAAGAGCAGTGTGGAGTGCAATAGAGATAGCGTCATCTGTGGATCTGTTGGGGCGGTATACGAATTGGAGTGGGTCCAGGGTGTCTGGGGGATGATTGTGTTGATGTGAGCCATGACCAGCCTTTCAAAGCATTTCATGGCTACAGATGAGTGCTACAGGTTACCTTGGTGTTCTTAGGCACACCGACTATGGTGGTTTGCTTGACACATGTAGGTATTGCAAACTGGGTCAGAGAGAGGTTGAAAATGTCATTGAAGACTCTTGCCAGCTGTTCAGCGCATGCTCTGAGTACGTGTCCTGGTAATCCGTCTGGCCCTGCGGCCTTGTGAATGATAACCTGTTTAAAGGTCTTACTCACATCGGCTACGGAGAGCGCGATCATACAGTCATCCGGAACAGCTGGTGCTCTCACGCATGGTTCAGTGTTGCTTGCCTCGAAGTGAGCATAGAAGGCATTTAGCTCATCTGGTAGGCTTGTGTCACTGGGCAGCTCTCAGTTGGGTTTCCCTTTGTAATCCATGATAGTTTGCAAGCCCTGCTACATCTGACGAGCTTCAGAGCCAGTGTAGTAGGATTCGATCTTAGTCCTGTATTGACGCTTTCTTTACCTGTTTGATGGTTTGTCGGAGGGCATAGCGGGATTTCTTATAAGCGTCCGGATTAGTGTCCTGTACCTTGTAAGCAGCAGCTCTAGCCTTTAGCTCAGTGCAGATGATCTATTTTCTTAAAACTGCATTGTTGGTTAAGTGCTTGTAATTAAGCATTTCACGGGAAGGTCTACTACACCTGTTGTATTCGGCGCATGTGACAAATAACATTTGATTTGAATTGATACTTATGGTCACTGTGGGGACAACGTTGTAGATGCACTTATTAATGAAGCCGGTGACTGATATGCTAAACTCCTCAATGCCATCGGATGAATCCCGGAACATATTCCAGTCTGTGCTAGCGAAACAGTCCTGTAGCTGTAATGTTTGTTTCATACAGAAACAAACATTAGGATATCTTAAAGCATTTTGGAAATATAGAACTGTAAATACACAGATACAAAAGGCAGAAATATCAACTATGAATATTTATGATGAATGTAAACTTCACTTTTTGGTAGCTATTCAATAGACAACTTTTCAAGTCAAATTTGCTCTCGTTCAGCTGTATGGTCCTGCATGACAAAAATGCATACAGTTAATAAAGAAAAAATGTTTGTAGCTATTGTAATCGGCTCTAAGGAAAACAAGTGGGCTCAGCCATCACAGATTATCTTTATATTTAGCCTTAAATCCGATATGGCATCCAAAATCCAATATGGATGCCATAATAACATTTGATGGAGGTTAAAGGAGATGTCCCTGTTTTTCTCCCACATTGTGGAAGCTTGGCGAATTACAACAACAGTTAGGCTATTTTGAAACAAATCTCCCCCTCCCCTCCCCCACCCCCTTTCTCAACAAGCCTAGAGTCACTTTCCCCTTTGCACGCTCTCTCCCTTTCATTCTAAAACGTGTGGATTTGTTT